CTTGCTTTTTTTTTCTTTAGGCCTATACAGTATACATTACTTCCAAATTGTCCGACATCTTTCTGTGTTATACTAAATCTTGTTTGATTTCATATCAATCAGTCCTAAAATTAAGCGCTGAATTGACTCAGAATTATCTAACTACCCACCAAGAAGCTAGAAAGATAAATTACATGCATAAAATTGTCAAGAATCGAACATAGGTAATTTATTCATTTTGTTTTTCAGAAATTTTTATTGGTCTGTTTTACATGGAATTATATTTGCAAGGGTGATGCGCCCTTCTGGTTGCACAACCCGTAATTTTAGATCTTAACCCTTTGCGTGCGGGAACCCAATATATTGGGTCTGACGTCACAAACGCTTGCGTGCGGGAACCCAATATGTTGGGTCTGAGTCTGGAATTAGCGCTTCGTCACATAAAACGTCATATAAAACGTATAAATGAGCGGTGAATTATTCAGAATCTATCAAAATGTATTATACAACTACAACACATTGAAAACTAGGTAATTAAGATGTGAAAATATGCCAATTATTTGTGAAATTGTGATTTAAAGTGAAGTTGTTTGGAGTTTGTTACGATGAAAGTCAGTCCGCTATTTTTGGAAACAGGGAAAAAACGCGCATGTAATAAATATCTACTAACTTGCTCTGATATATAGGAGAATAAAGAAATAAAACCAAAAAATAGTTAAATATCAATAATTCTAATAAATTTGAGTTAGTAGACTTAAAATTACTTAAAAATTTTCGATAATTTAGCAGAAAAACTCTGGTTAACTTGACTTGACCTTAACCTTGCAAAGTTCTTCCTGTTAAAACGAAAGTAGGATGCACATGCTACATGTACTGAACTTCAGTCTGAAGCATATCGAGAGCTTATATGGTCGGCAAAGGTTTATATTTTGGACATACGGTGGTTATTATTTGTTTATTTGGTGTTTTGTAAGTAGACATACATTACATCGTCTAAATGAAAACAATAATGCGCGAGATTGAACCTGGCAAGTCACAGACGTTTTTCTTTTCCTCAGTGGCTGTGCAAGTTGTTTACATACGACACGTAAATCAAGCTTTGCTTTGAAATAAAGGTTTGAAAAAATAATTTGAAGCATCTTGTTAATTAAAAGTATTTGTTTTTTTAACAATAAATAAACAAATAAATAAGTAAACAATTTTTTTTAATCTAAAGACCCATTTCAAAAATGTTGAAAGATAAAAAAGTTTCCACCTAATAAAAGTAATAAATGTGGAGGACCTGGGACATTGTAGAAAATTTTCCAATCAGTTATTGCATTAATAAGTGAGTGCAAAAGAGATATATAGAGAATATATATATCCATCAACATATTTTTGTGATCAAGCAAAATTAATTCATGATACATGCAGGTATTCGAAATATACACAAAATGAATTTTATAATTGACAATCATTGAGTCAATTAAGTGGCACTAATTACACCTAAAAATTCTGTTTTAAAGCTGCTTGATGTTCCATCTATTTGGGAAAACTTTCAAATATTTTTTTTATAACAGTATATGGTATATTGTAAAATTTTTAGCACAATTAAAAATAAACTTGATTTTTTTCTATATAGTGTCTTCAAATGTAAGCTAGTTATCAGAAAAGATGCATTGATGCATTTGATCATGTGCATATACATGAAAATGGTAAAAAGTGATGAAAAAGTTTTGAAGTGCTGATATTCCCTGAAATGACTGTCATTTGTGTAAACTGTGGTATTTGTTTTATTTCAGTAAGTAATAAAATACCATTTTTTTTTCCTTGATGAGGATTATATAGACTCTCAATAATTTCAAAACCAAAATATGTTCCCTGATCTTTGGTATCTTAGAGTTAGATTTCTTCAAGGCATTAAATATTTACATACCGTACTCTAGTTTGCATGGGACCTTATTAGTAAGTGAAAATAATTGAAACTATATGGATCAGAATTTTTTTTTAAACCAAGTTCAAGAACATGTATCAGGGAGACATTTTCTTTTTCTTTAAAATAGACTTTTGCCAGAATAAAGCATGTGGATTAAATTGCAAACTTCCTCCACTTTTTATTTTTATTTTATTAAACACCAAAAACAGCGAGACTGCCCCAACCTATACATGCACACACAAAATTATAAAATTCACTGGTTAAATAAATGATATCTCTACAGTTTAAAATTAAGATGAATTGTCATTTTTGTAGGCATAAGAAGGAGATCAGAGTCTTTAGAATGAGTAATTTGTAAATAGTATGGATTTGCATGTACATCTGTTCAATAAATTACAATAAAGACTGGGTAATACATGTAGGAATTGTACTTCTCAAACTCAAAAGTATATACTGTACATGTTTTTACCTATTAATATGTAATATATCCTCTAGTTTACAAATTTATATGGCCCAAGAAGCTTTTACATTCCATCCCTTCTAGATATGTAACAGTAAGATAGGTACATTTGATGTAAGAGATAATCATATATGCCTGAATGAATACAGAAAAAAAGCTAAGATTTACTTTTTTCAAAAATGCAAATTCCTGTACAATTACTTATCAACAAAGATTACATTTTGGTCCCCAAAGATATGTTAATTTTTAAAAATGAAAATATTAATAGTTACTTAGAATACAAAGAAATCCCATAGTGGAAATAAAATATACATTTCATTACTGTGTACAGGTTTTTTTTTGCCCCATGTTATTTTCGCCCTTTTGAACTTGTGAACAATTTTGCCCTGTTTTAATTTCACCCAGTCATAGTTCTGTTTAAGAAATTATGAGGTGTAATTTGAATTCGCCCCATTTTAAATTCGACCAATCAAGGAGAGGGTGAAAGGGGCAAAAATAAAACGGGGGCAAAAATTTCCCAGTATACAGTATTAGGAATAATATTTTATGTTGAAGTAAAAACTCAGGCACATTTAAAACTTGTGTAATAGGAAAGGAGAAAATGTATGGTAACTATGGTTGGACCAAGAATTGAACTCAGGAACCCTGCTTCACTAGTCAGGTGCTCTACCCAGGTTGATACCCATAGCACAACCATTACATATCCCTCCTTGAAGTTATCTTTATTCTTGCAGACACAACCCAAGTTCTTATTAGCCCCTGACAGGACTTTCACTTGCAAATCCAGAGGGTTCAATAGCATCATATATGTAACAATTAAGGAAGGAGAAAATGCACGGCTGGACCGTGAATCTAAGAAGGGGCCCCTGCATCACCGGTCAGATGCTCTACTGACTGAGCTTACTTGGCCTATATCCATGACCCATACCATTGGACTTGTATATAACTTAAAAGTATTTCATAATTATATATTGATTGATATTATGGTACATATCTGTCAATTATCATTAACTAAAATCAATTGAAAAAAATCAAAACTGTTATTCACCAGTGACCACATTGAACGAAGTCATTTTTGAAAACATTATAAATGACTGTTAAAGGTGCTTAAATTTCTAAAATTTAAAATACTAGTTTTCCTGCTGGCAATTATTGTTGCCAGCCAGGAATAAAACTTTTAAAATAAATGCCACATTTCTTACAGAGTGAGAAGTACTGTGGGAGGAAAGTTGATGAATATGTAAACTTAACAAATAACATGGAGAAATGCATTTTCTTCAATAAAAGCGAAATAAAAAAAAAGATTTGAGAATTACTAAGAGTATATTTAGGGCTGTTAGATACCAGTCATTAGAAAATAAGACCTCTATAACTTAGTGTAAAAGTTATTATTATTTTTTTTAATTAATTTAACATAATGACTGCTTTAATTTGAAAATGGATAGTAGTAACAGCAATTAGTTCATTGTTGTGCCAATTTGCTCCAAGATTTCCCAACCTCAAAAACTGCATATTCTTTGAGGATCATACTTTCTTATATGATTGCCAATATTTCTTAAAATAATTACTGGTTTTATATTTACAGGCTAATTGAATCTTCAATTTATGCTCTTTTTAGTTAAAATCTGAAAAAAAAATCCATTAACTTAAATCAAAATTCACTTAAACCTACATGAATATATCCCTTACTTAGATAAGTATACAATGACTTTTCACAACATAACGGTTATATATAACATTGACTTTATCAATGAGTTATTGTTTAAATTAATTTTTTTTTTACATAATATTAAACTAATTAGAACTTTTAAAGCAATTGATTTATTTTTTTTCATCAAAGTGCAATATTTTCTCTGAAAAATATAGTTAAAGTGCTAAAAAGTCATTTTAAAATATATTTTTTGAAAATTTGGTTTCCATGGCAACATAAAATATTAGATTTTTAAAAAAAAATATTATAGATTAACAAAACACAACATTTGCTATATATTTGCCAAATTTCAAGCAAATTGGTTGTCAATAATTTTAGATATTTGCATTTTAGTACACCATTGTGATAATTTTGTTGATATTACAAAACAACTCAGTCCTGAGGTTACTGTGCACGTAAAACAAGTCAGCACACAAAGGGTTAAAAGACTGGAAACAGAAAGAATATGGTTGCAGGGAATTTATTTAAAAAAATTTCAGACGAAAATACAAGCGGATGTGACCGAGCAGACTGACTTTGAAAAATCCATGATGGCGTCGATGGATACCTTTGTTTATTATTAGGTAAGGGTATAATTTTTTATTAAAAGAAAATTAAGTAACGTCAGGTGCCTGTGGTCTGTTTAGACTAATTAGCCACAGATTTTATTACTACGAATGAAAATGTGTTGGTCTGAGACTAACATACTAATGGCAATGTCAAACCCTGAATATCATTTGACATGGATTACAACACATGTATAACAAAATATCAATTTTATTGTCCTGTACCCCAGCCCCACTTGATACGGCACCTTAATTTAACCACTATTGACCTATACTCAATTCTATACATCATATGCATGTATAATGTTCTGAACATGCAATATTTACAAAAGTTCATAAATCATTCTGTTTTTCTTAATCCCTTCTTTATTACTAGATCCCAATGCTTACCTTTTGAAGCCTTTTTGATAATAAGGCAGACCCTCCCACACCTGGCTTCATATTTGGATACTTTTTCCTTAATTTATCTTCTTCTTGTTTCATTTTTTCCTGAAAGACGAAAGGTACCACATTTTCATTAGTTCAGATATTATACAATTATATCTCAGTATAGATAGTTTGCAATCAGATATACTAATATCATTATTTGTGTGGCATTACTTCTTTGTACAATTTGAAGGCATTTTTAATGCATTTTTTTATTCTAGATGGATGAAAATGAAATTATAAGAAAAGAATTTATAACAAATCAATTTATTATTAAGTATAAACTGGGATTGGAGCATTTTAGTGTCCTATTCTTTTATAACCCTCTTTTGGCTTTCACAAACCCTAACTGAATGTAATCAAATGAATATATAGTTGTATCCACTGTAACCTTGAGTTACAGACACTTATAGGTTTGATGTTGACAGGTTTCAGAGATATGTTACCTTTACAACTGGATTAAGTACTTATAGGTAAAATCAACATTAATTCCTAATGAAAGCTTTTCAAAAATTAAACAGCCCACTATCCATCTTTTTAAAAATTTTGTAATTTTCAACATGACCATTAAATGGCAAATGCTCATTCAATTGGCAGATATAAACAGTAACTAAAGAGAGAAAGATAAGACTAAAACATAGTTGAAACAGATGTTTTTTTCCTGGGTGAAAATTGCAATGAAAAAAAACAACTCGCAAATTTTTGTGAGTTACAAATATTTTAACTCGCAATTTGGATATTTAACTCATATTTTGCGAGTTGTATATTCAATTCAATTATAGTGAATTTCGAACCCTGTCCTTGGCATATCTTTTTCAGAAATTTAAATGAAAACATAATTAATGAATTCAATCTTAATATTATGTTAGACAGCTGCTGTGTGTCTGTAGCTCGTTGGTAAAAAAAAAAAAGAAAAAAAAGCATGGACGACCAGAGAGCCACCCCACATAAAAAATCTGTTTATTTATTGCACATAAAAAGCTGTGCTCGATTCTGGATTGATTTCTCCAAATTCTTCAGCTAATTTAAGATAGTAGATACACAGCTTTAACTGTTACTGTTATAGAACTTTGAAGACTTGAGAAACCCTCTCAAGATCCGAATTTACTTGCATAAATATATTAAGGTTCTTTCATGGTCGTGATTTTGACTATAATGATGTTAACCGCCTTAAATCACTAAATTTTGAAAGTGACAAAGTAGAGATTCTAAGACTCATTGGCATGGCGCAATCACGTAAACATTACTAACGGAAGCTGATAGCTCGGGGGTAGCTGGTTTGATAAAAACATCATCTCCAGTGGATTTGTCTTTGTTTTCCTCTTTCGTCTCTTCAGGTTTTTCTTGAGAACTCATTTTGTTCGTTTTTAACTGCGCCGAAATAATCAAAATATGGCGATGAACATTTACTCTCGATATTATCCAATGAAATCTGTTGTTACAAAAGTCAATGTACAGTTAATAGCTAATGCGTACAAGGATGTGTGTAAGCACCTATCAATTTTACTGACATTTTCGGTAAATAAAAAAATACGTCATACCTTTAATAATTTTACCGAAATTTTCAGTAAATAAAAAAAATACGTCCTACCTTTGTTATTATTTACGAAAGCCTATTAGGATCAATCTAGAGAGAAAAAAAAATTAAAAAGGCGTAATAACGCGAAAAACCATTCCAAAAGGCGTTATAATGCCTTTAAAAGGCGTTATTACGCCTTTCCAAAAGGCGTTATTACACCTTTCTAAAAGGCGTTATTACGCCTTTCTAAAAGGTCTTATTACGCCTTTCTTAAAAGCGTTATTACGCCTTTCTAAAAGGCGTTATTATGCCTTTCCAAAATAGTTATCATGCTTTTGGAATAACCATTATTTTGCATTTAACAGGCCCGTGCTTTTAATAGCCCCCCCCCCCCACACACACACACACCCTCCACTGGCCAAATTCGTGGGGGGGGGGATTTTATTTAAATGCAATAATTTGTCACAGTTTTACATACTGCAACAACATGTTAAGGAAACAAGAAACCAATAGTTAATTATAATATTTAAACTGTAGCAAGACTTTTCCTCAAAAGTGTGTATGTTTGGAGGGGGGTTACCCCATTCGCACTCGTATTACTGGCCTACATGAAAAGGAATAGGAAAAGGCGTTATCTTATGTTAATAAATATAGAAAGATTTAATTAAAACCATCTTTATTTATGCAATTCTCTATATTCCTGCACATCTCACTGACAACTGTTTGCATTCGTATTAAGAGAAGGCAACACTCTACTTGTGAAGATCTAGAATATAGGCAGATCTATCTTACAGCTTTGCTTGCCATGTACAGTGTATTAAAATTTATGTCATTTGAAAATATTTTTCTCTCTTCTAGGAAAAAAGCAGGCAACTATTTGCATGGGTATAATGAGCAAATGAAATCAATGACCCTTGGTAGAGGTGTGCCTGGTATGAAAGAAGGACTAATAGTTGGTTCAACATTGAAAATATATGACGCATTTAAAAATCTTTTGTAACGTGCAAGGGAGGTCACTGCCTGTGAACCCCCGCAGGCTCGTACCCGTGATAAAAACGGATAGCCTTGAGATGCTGCAAATATATGCGCAGTCTTAATCACTTGGTACTGCGTTATATAAAGTCTTTACTGGTAGCGAACAAGTGACACTGGCAGGGAAGTCCACACACCAGCGCACTTCCACAAGAGACAAGCAGGGATGACCGCACACTTGCCCTTGCGCAGTGACAAGCAGGGATGACCACACACTTGACACTAATACGGTTCTAGCCTAGAGACACTGGCAGGGATTTCCGCACACCAATGCTCTACCACAAGATGCAGGCAGGGATGTCCACACACCTGATCTTGCGCAGCAACAAGCAGGGATGTCCGCACACTTGCTACTTTAAGATGCGATCACAGAGCAGGGATGACCACACACTCTGTCAAGTAATAAGCAGGGATGACCACGCACTTACTACTTAAAACAGTACAATAAAAGCACGGAAGTCCACACACTTATATGTACACGCACATGTTTGTCAAGATTTACCTCTAGAACCGACCTCGCAATCCTCGCCAGTAAACCTTTAGTATCCCAACTAAAGAAACATACAAAAATTATTATTGATTACTTTAATTCAAATTTAACACTAATTAAGTATTTATTTTCGATGTATATAATTAGCAATTAACAATAACAAGGGCGATAACTTTCGCTATAATGAAATATAGAAAAACAGCTTTCTGCTTCACTTTTTTCCTGGAAATTTAATTGCTGTCTGTTTAGATTATTTTTTGAGAAATTAGTCCTATATCTAATTGTGAAATTCATGTCCCAAAGGTACGATTTCTGCACACACACACACACACCCCTCGGTTGGGCTAAATATGTTTAGTTATGTATTGAAAGTAAAAGGCGTAATAACGCCTTTTGGAAAGGCATAATAACGCCTTCTAGAATGGAAAGGCGTAATAACGCCTTTTCAAAAGGGTTATAATGCCTTTTCGCCTTTTAATTTTTTTCTCTCTAGTTTGGTCTTAATAGGCTTTCGTAATTATTAAAGGTATGAAGTATTTTTTTTATTTACTGAAAATTTCGGTAAAATTGATAGGTACGCAGTTCTGACTTAGATGCTTATATTTACGAAAGCCAACCCTCCTCCCTTTTTTCTTTTTTGCTCGTCAATAAATTTCTGGTTTTCTTCATTTTTTTTTTACTGGGATGGACCCCCCCCCCCCGTGGATTCTCATCTTATAATTAAAAAAAAATATTTGGTTGTCCTCTCCCGATCGGTAAATAGTATTTATGTTCAAATTAAAATTTTCAACGATTTTGAACTTGTCGATCTGATATTTAAATCCGGTAAATAAATCGGTTATTATTTCAAATTTCTGGTATATCAATGAAACAAAACAAATAGAAATATCTGTTTAATTTTAGTCTAGCTGAACTTCTAGAAATTTTAAAATACGACATATATTTGACTTTTTAAAAAATGGCCCGATTCCAAACTTTCAAATCAACATCAATTGCCATGCATTGTAAGACAACAACTGTACAGAATTTGTCAATCTTAGTTGTATACATGCACTTGTATTTCATATATATATTTGAAAGCACAATTTAAAAAGGATCCTTCTATCATTATATATTGAAATTATCTATTTGCAAATCTACAATTTAAAGTATAGACAGAACAGCTGGGCATTTATTCCTATAATTTATAATTACCTGTTCTCTTTAGAGAAGTGGACAGGCTAGCTTTCACCTACATCCCGTTGGCGAAAGCCTGTCCAATTCTCTAAAGAGAATAATTTAGAACCATTTGTATATACTAGATGAAACCTCGCAAGCGCTTGGAATAGAATAATTTACATGTACTGATACATGCATGAAAATTGATTTTGGCGGGAGAGGTAAATCTTCACCAGGCACGTAGCATCGTTTTTGAAAGTGGGGGACCAGCCATCGTCTCAAGCCACGGTCCGGAATCCGCATATAGCTCTCTCCTACCAGAATGGGAGAGGATCGTACATTTTGGCCGTGGTTTGCGACGATGCGAAATCCTATTTCTTGGAGGGAGGGGGGTGTTAGGAGCCAACTTTTTTCAATGCCAACTTCTTTCAGTACCAATTTTTTTTACCTACAATACTACATTTTACTTATACCCAAAGACATATATACCACAAAAAGTTGGGGGGCCAACCAGCCTTTGATTGATTGATTTGATTTGATTTGAACATATTTTATTGTAATATAATTACAAAGGGATTGAGCACAAGTACTGAATACTTATAACGCCCTCTCCCTATACATGTAAATTACACATTGATATTATCACAGTTAAACATGCTATATACAGGATTCAGAATTTGCAAAAGTAAACAAATTGATGCATTTTGCATATATGTATAAATATATAAAAGTTGAACAAATTCATATATTAATATATAGGTACAGTAATTAACAAGGAAATCTACCAGAATGCTTAATAAATGTTTGAACAAAAGAAAAGAGACGTTCATTCTCTGCAGCACTCAGTGATTCAACCCCCCATAATAAGACATGTGTATATAGTATGTGAATTTTATCAAATTGTAAAAAATTATTTAAAAATTCATTTCTGGCGTTCGCATACTTTGGACATACGAAAAAATAATGATATGTGTCCTCAACTTTACCGCATGTGCACAAGGGACTTGATATTAAATTGCATCTATAAAGGTCGTTATTTAATACACAATTATGTCGTAGTCTGGTTTGAAGAACATTAAGTCTTCTGTTACCGTAATCAAAGTAAGAAGGTGGGCAGATCTAGATTCTTTATTACTAATTTTAGATTTGAATTTTGACATTGACTGTAAATTTCGGTTTCAAGTGGAATGGAGTTCCATTCGTTAACTACAGTAGGAATAAACGTAGACTTATAAGTTTGTAATCGACACTTTGGAATATCATAATTTTGAGAATTTCTTGTCGAGTAGATAGATGTTTTACAGCGCATATTTGGAAGGATGTCCATTAAGTATTCTGGCACTAAATTATTATTATTTCTGAAAAGATGCTCTCAGTAATGTTAGCGATTTTTTGTATAACACGAAAGGATATAAATGCAATTCACCTTTGTTTTTGTAGGATTTTTAGTTCATGTATTTATGTTATTAGGCCTATATACGATATTCTTTTTGTGTGTTTTGTATAGTATTCATTAAATCACTGTAAAGTGGAAATAAAGTATGAAAGAATGAATTAGAAAAACCTACAACTACTACATATATGTAATAATCTTTCTATATATAAATGTATTTACAACTTATGAGTATAGTATTCTTGGTATTATCATTAAAACATTATTATCAGGACCATTCACACAAAACCCCTTTTTTAACATCGGGATCGATGCTATATGATCCACTCCTAATTTTGTTTTAACATCGGGCTCGGCATACTTACATTTCCCATAATTCACAGCAGCCATGGCTGACGAAGAAAGTCCCAGAATAACTGTTACTGTAAAAACGCCGAAAGAAAAGCATGATGTCGAAATTAATGCCGATGCTGGTGTGCGAGAAGTAAGAATGTTATATAGATCGAGTTTTAAATACAGTTAATGGTGAATTCCTTTTTAATTCCAACTTGAAAAATGCCTTAAAAACCATATGACATCCCATAATCTTTCGTAATGTAGTACTAGTCATCAAATGTACGAAAAGAAATCCTCATAACATCAATTAAATAGCATGAAACGTTTAGTATCCCAAATTATTGCTTTTTAGAGGCGGTATTCTAACTTGCATCGACTCAAAATTTTGTACAGATGTGTTTTTTTCCTATTCTCACTCTCAGACCAATGTCACATGTAGTGATTTCATCATTGGACAATCTTGCCCGAAGTTTGACTAATTGTTACAACTTCATGCTTAAATCACTTGCCTTTGTTAACTCTTTGCTTGGGACATTCCCTTTATTCCTTACAGGGGTTCAAAATTTTTTTTGTCATGGTCAAGTCCAGGACTTAAAGAGTAAATTTTAGGCAAGTCCGAGGAAGAAATTTGAAAGTCCATATTAACCTATACATCATTAAATTTATGTTACTTATAATTTATTTTCATTTGTTGCATTGAATGAATAAAGACTATATGTATTAATATATGTTTTATTTTTCCTCCATAAACTGCCATATAGTCATACATGAGTATTTCAAAAGTACCAGACTGATAGATTATTGGTACATTAAAATAACTTTTAAAAATACTCACTACTGAATAAACCATCTGTTACAATAAATAGCAGTTAGAATTTGCTGTAAGTCAAAGCTAAAACCGAAATTTAAAAAACTCATTGCCGTTTGTCATATAGGAGGAAACATGAGGAATTGCGTAAAAGCAAGAATCTAACCGCAACGGAAAATAAAAAGACGGATTGTATTTTCGAAACGTACGTAATGTTTTATGGGTATTTTAACGACCACAAACCCACATTTTTACTTAATACATTTGAGAATTTGCTTTATATTTAGCTTTACGATCATTTTTTTAACTTAAAAAAAAAGATAAACAAAAAACATAGCCAAGTCTTTGGCTCCGGAATTTGTTAGTCCGGGACGTCGGGCTTGAGGAATTTTGAACCCCTGCCTTAATATGTTGATGATGGGGGGGGGGGGGTGGGTTACCGATGATGGGGAGATACAGATGTAGTTTCAATTTGTATCAGTCTCTCCTAACTGCAGGTTACATTTGATATGGTGAGACATAAATAGAATGTTCTATGGTTAAAATGATAAATGTCCTACGGACCTGGTTTAACGATAGAATGCTTTCCGTGTATTCACAATGTAGCAAAGTAAACACGGGCGATAACTCGTACTAGTGCATTTACTAAGAACAATCAAGAGAGTTCCGAAAGTAAACATGGCGTGTGAATTTGAAGCGAGAAAAAACGTTGAGAACATTAGTTGAATTTTTGTCTTTATTTAGACTAAACTTTAGGTTAAAATACTTACACAGCCCCAAAAATGTTTGTTATGATTAATTTGGAAGTTATTTTCAGTGCTAATCCCCTTGTATTCTTCAAAATTGTTTCGGAGCAATTCTGCAGTTTTTTGCTACATTGCGAGTATATGGGTGGTATTCTAACTGTGGTGAGGGCTTGTCCCGAGACACAGTTAGATTATTCTAACTAGGTGAGACATTATTAGTAATTTCAGTTATGTGTAAAGTTTTGCATTACGTCACAACCTGTGATGACAGCTGTGCTCAAGGTAAATAGTACACGCCTCCTAACTGCAAACTTTACGACTAGAAATTCCTTCTAATCCCTGATTGGTTGCTCGTGCAACAGACTGTTTCCATGTCAATGTTGATAATATGAGTTGAGCATTCACAAAACGGCGGCTGAATTGTTTATGCTGGATGCATCTGTGGAAAAAGATCATGAAGTAATACAAAATTCACACTTAACTGAAATTGCTAATAATACATTTGTTTTCTTTAAAGCTTATACTAACCATTGTTAATTTGGATTGTCATATTGTGAAAAAAACACTAGCTATTCATTTTGATTGATAGACCTGCTAGTCTAGTGTTGTACTGATGATCAGAAAACATTGATTGTCAAGGAAAAAATACTACCATACTACCGATCCTGATGATCAATTATTTTTTTTCCATAATAGATCATCAGAAATTTACTTCAAGCACTCCTGAATTATCCATTCCCCATTGAAATTTTATTTCTTCCTAATGAAAAAAAATGGTATGTGCACTGTGCACGCCACAAACTAGCATAAAGCCGAGGTGATTTAAGAACCAGAAGATGCATATATAGAAATTGTAAAAGAAGCAAAACATCAGAGAAAGCAATATATTACCAATATACATTCATGATAAAGAAATGATATGAAATAACTGTAATAGTCTGCTTCTTACGTTTCATGTACAAAATTAATAACTATGACACCCATTGACCAATTGTAATGTAATTGGTAAAATCTCATCGGAAGCACTAACCAATTCCAACCAATGATCTATTGTGAAAATTAACCGATGTCCCATCACTACTGGCCACAGGCTTTTAGATCGCTTAGAAAAAAATTGAGATGTTAAAAAAAATAAAGGTATGGAACTGTTTTCATAGGGTACCTACTTTGGCCAATAAAATTCTTTTAAATCAAATGCCTTTTCTATCCATATCTATTCACATATAAACAATCTTAATTACTACCAAAGTTCAATCCGTAATTCCATGTACTTCTCGAGATATTCTGAAATCAATTCCAAAATTGACCTTAATTTTTTTACTCGACATCAGCTTGGGCCTTTAAAGAACTACACTAATTGTTAAGCCGGAACGACAAGACAAATTTTCCTTGGAATTTATTCTGTACTCAATGAATGTTCGCTCATTTGCATTCGAGCTTTACAAGATTTTCTGTAATTTGATTATATGAACTTATTGAAGTCACCAACAACATTTCAGAGGTCTAATATTGTTTTTAAAATCGAAAGGTATATAATACATTCCGGGAAATTTTTTTTCAACCATGGCTTCTTTTACATTCATAATCAAATGGTGGTGCAGTTGTTAATGTAGATGTTTTCAAATTAAATTTTCGCAAAAGGAATTATTACTGACTTAACCTAACAATCTGGAGTAAGAAATCAACTTTAAAATGTTGAAAGATATTGCAAATACTATGCAACTCTTCACTGCACTTCAAACACCGCCTGTTTACATGTGAATGACCAGGGGCCCAAGCTAATTTCGAATGAAAAAATGTAGGTCATTTTTGAAATTGATATCAGAATATCTCGAGAAGTATATGTAATTTTGGAATGAGCTTTGGTAGAAATGAAGATTGTTTATCTATGAATAGATTTAAATAGAAAGTAAATTTTAGAGCACTTGATTGAAATATATTTTATTTGTGAACTTGGGTACCCAGTGTAAGAGTTCCATACCTTTTATCTTTTTTTACACACTATTTTTTTTAAGCGATCCAAAGGCCTGTGCTACTGGATGCTACCTTGGCTACCTGAATAATCTGAGTATGCATATTTTTAAAACAATTATCTGTTACAGGGTCAGATGTTTTCATTTATCATTTGAATACTTGTTTTTATATACTCTGGTAAAGAAAAATCAAATCAATGAAATATTGGTTGGAAATAATGTTTAAAAAGATAATTGAGAGTATATAATTCAATGTTGACTTCATTGATTTTTTAATCCCCACTGCTGTTTGGTACTTGTAAGCAATATGACATACAAGCTCAATTTTCCTTAGAAAAACTAGCAGCAATAGTTCAGCCCTTTTCTCCTTCAATTGGACTGATGAAATCATGAAGCCCAATTAAAGTGTATAAATTATTTAAATCAGTAGTTAAAAACAAAATCAGGTAAAACCGCATAATGTTGACCCTGATTATCACTATCGGAGACAAACTTCCTGTGGTGCTGTATCATGTATATGTTTTTTTGACATTGTGAGTATTGGTGACTCTCCAAGTAAATAACATTAGTTCAACTAAAAACTAAAAAGACCTCCCTCACCCCACCTCAGATGACCGTATTGCAAAAATATTTGGATTTTGATCTCACAAAGAGAAGTAGTACATTTCCTAACCATCTTGCATTATGGTTATCAGTGATAATTATTGTGTATAGCTTCTTGATTCTTTTTTTTTAATGAAACAGAACATTTATATACAAAAGAAAAGAGAAGTGAAATTTAAAGTGTGCATGTTTTTTTTTTTTTTTGTAGTTTAAGGAAGAAGTTGGTAAGAAGTTTTCTGCACCTATTGAGCAACTATGTTTGATTTTTGCTGGAAAGATTCTGAAAGATGGAGAAACTTTGTCCCAGCATGGAATAAAAGATGGTCTGACTGTGCATCTAGTGATTAAGTCATCAAATAGGGTAAACCTTGCATTGTTTATATAAGTTATTATGTTGTTTAAAATATGTAGACTTTATTTTATTTTATTTTGTATTACACTTGATATATACATGTAGGGTTGGATACCTGTACTCATACCAAAAAGTTACTTAAAAGATACCAGTAAAATATTGTATCATTTAATACCAGTAATTTTAATGGGATTGCATAATCTTTGAAACTTTTAAATACATTCAAAATCATTTTAAAAAGCTATTCCAGACTTGCTTAAATTGAATTCTATGGGCTTTGAAAGGATAGGCTAATTACTAGTAAACAAATGGATGAATAGTACGACACTTGCATTTGACAGCTCATATTCGAGGTAAATCAATATGCATATTTAAGGGGAAAAAAATTAAATGCTTTCACATTTGATAATTTTGTTTTCATTTTATTTATAAAAACTGATAAAATGTAGATTAAAAAGACAATGTTTCAAAAATGTCATGTGCATCTCTATCCTTTTGCCAATGTTTCGTCGTTTAGCGCAACCAAACAAAATGGGCAATGGCAATCGGGTGAAGCGGTCAGCTATATGGTCCCATAAATTATGTATACTTGTGATTATGTATCTAGTCTGACAGATTAATTTGATGAGATTCAGCTTATTTGTTTTGTTGATCATTTATTAAAATGTTTTTTTGAAATATAAACATAGTTTATAAACTCATTTAGATTATAATGTTCAACTTGAAAGATTGGTGATTGGTAAAACTAGGGATGGCAATCGAATGCAGAATTGCTAAGGCCATAATAAATAAATTGCTAGATTCTCGTCCGAATTGTTTAATAATCGAGGCACGCGGGCGGCTTTTATTTTATATTTTTTATTTTTTCAATTTTGCAGATTTTTTATTGACCTGGTCAATCGGTGTAATTTTATCTACAATACCCGAATAAAAGTCATAGTAAAGGTTCAATTATCTTTTACTTCACATCATCACCAATCTTTTTCAACCAATGACCCTTGTTTAAAATATATACGCATGTATTACAGCAATTACCATCTTTTCAGCTGTCAAAATCATGTCGACTTTCGCGGGATTTAAAACGAAAGTAGAATGGTCAATGAATACTGATCCCGATCAGAATTAAGGCGAAGAAAAACAGAAATAAAAAATCGAGGCGGGGGTATAAAATCGAGGCGGGCGGGTATGAGAATATAGGAATATTTTTATTATGGCCTAATCGGTTGACGGCAAGATGTTCCGACCGATTAACCGGTTAATCATTTCAAATTACATATATTCTAGATTTTCTTTTCAAAGTAAAGACAGCTCTTTCCGTATGCAGGGTTCGACACTAACATTTTTAGGCTTTGGTCCGGCCGGACTAGTCCTTCTTTACTTTTACTAGTCCGCGGGCAATTTTATGAGTCCGTCAAAAATAAAAATAAATAAATAGAATTAATGTTGCAATGTACTTTTTATACTTTTTTGAAATAAACAAAGCATTTACATGAAATGTTTATATGAAGAATTCATTAAAATCCCACAATCAGGAATTACGATCATATTCCCGATCTCATTCGTTTTTCTCTATACATGATTACATCATCTAAACATCCGACATCTTTCTTTATGTGTCATACTAAATCATGATTGCTAATTTAAAATGTTTAATTTCATACCAATGAGTCCTAAAATTAAGTGCCGAATTGACTCAGAATTACCTAACTTCCCGCCAAGAAGCTAGAAAGCTAAAAATAAATACGGGGTTTCCAGTGAAAGTTGTCGAAAAGTTGAACATCGGTAAATTCTTTTTTCCCCCCAGAAAACTTTATTAGTCCATTCGGACTAATTAGGCCATAATAAAAATATTCCTAGATTCTCATCCCCGCCCGCCCCGATTTTATACCCCCGCCTCGATTTTTTAAATTTCTGTTTTTCTTCGTCTTAATTCTGATTGGGATCGATATTCATCTACCATTCTACTTTCGTTTTAAATCCCGCAAAAGTCGACATGATTTTGACAGCTGATAAGACGGTAATTGCTGTAATACATGCGTATATATTTTAAACAAGGGTCATTGGTTGAAAAAGATTGGTGATGATGTGAAGTAAGAGATAACTGAACCTTTACTATGACTTTTATTCGGGTATTGTAGATAAAATTACACCGATTGACCAGGTCAATAAAAAATCTGCAAAATTGAAAAAATATACAATAAAAGCCGCCCCGCCCGCCTCGATTTTTAAAAAAAATTGGATGAGAATCTAGCAATTTATTTATTATGGCCTTAGCTACAATTTTTATTAGTCCGAATGAAAGCGTATTAGTCTGAGACTAACGGACTAACGTTAATGTCGAACCCTGCCTATGTACATAGAAAAACTTAAAAAAATTAAAACATTCCATTTGTCTTGATTTTTTTATCAGAAAAGTACGTGTTTTTTAAAAATTTCAGTTTCAGTATTACCGTATTAGCAGAAATTTTAGCGAGGATTTAATTTTGGCATTATTGGCAAGGGTGCTGAGATCGCTAAAATTGAATATCGCTAAAAATTAATTGCGTTTTATTTCTTACAGCTACTTTAGTGAGAATTCTTAAATCACTAAAATTTCATCTCGCGAAAAATAAAATTCCACTTTTTAAGAACAAATCGCTAAACTTGCGTCTCGCTAAAATTTCCACTTATACGGTATCAAGGGAAAAATAAGAAATTTTCATGATCTTAAGCTAATTTTTAGAGCAGATGTCATGTCATGCATGGTAAAATAATCAAAACTAATTCAGAACTACAATTTACAATGTTTGTCTTATATCTAATTGAATTGGATAGAGAACTAAATACGACAAACATATGTGTACCTTCAATGCTTTCAGTAATTATAATCATTAAAGAAATACCGGACAGTCTGGGTAACAGCTTAGTGATTGCACAATAATTTACGCTAATGCAATCTGACCAATTACATCGTGGTCTCAATCAGGAGAATCCTAATTATCTCCAAATCAATTTCTATAGTTTCATTAAACAACAAATTTTCCACCTTTTGTGCTGTTGTTTCTTTACTGAAAATGAATTTTTAAAAAAATCGTTCAATTTCATTTCCTAATTGATTGCCCTCGTTCCGACCGAGTAATCGGTTAACCGGTTACAAGTTGCCATCCCTAGTAAAAACACATTTGTTATAAAATGAACCCTCATTCTCATTTATCAAGGTATAGTACCATATCATTTCAAATATACCAGTATGGTATCATATCGTTTCATCCTTAACAGTATCCAACCCTAGCACTAATAGTGTATGATGAGGCCTAGAAAAAAATATGTTTGTTTCCGCTTTCAGGCTGAAAAAATATAGGGTAGGTAGGTAGGCAATTTTTTTTTTGAAAAAATTTTTTTTGCTTCCTTTAATCAAAACGTGTATAGAAGTAACATTAATGACAAAAGAAATGGTGTTTTCAAGCATTACTGTGACTTAACTTATAATAGAAAGGTGACCCAAACTTCTTTCTGTCTTGAAAAGCTTGCAAACTTGGAGGCTATAATTCCCTGGTTGAAATCTTGCACATCATGAGACAAAAGCATTAAAAATATATTTAGGATCGGCACTATAAATTAGGGTCGGTCGGGAAAGCGGAAACAAACATATTTTTTTTCTAGGCCTGACATATAACAAACTTTCATAGGGTATATTTCAAATAAGAATTAATAAAATTCTGTATCACTGTGAATTTTCACAAATATAGTACATGTATATTTGTATGATATATACATTTCATTATATTTATAAATATTAGAGTAACAGTAGTTATAGCTTTGTTTTATTACTTATTTACTCTGCCTTTTACCATGTTTACATCTCAAACCCTTGGATATTTTTAAAGTTTGAGGTCAGCTACAAATTATCTGTTTAGCAAATATATTCCTGCCGTTCAAACTTCTCATATTTCTTATGAAAGTAAACCAAGTATTGAGCTCTTCCTACACTTGACATCTATATGTGTGTAAATATGTTTATATAATGCTACTGAAAACTATACATTACAATACTTAAAAAGCAACCTGTAGAACTTGTAGCATGTTTACACTGCAAACATATGTTCATAAGCACAAAATTGTATAGAGGCATGCATCACAAATGCATCACATCATATTTCAAAGAACAGAAATTTGTATGACACAGCTTGCAATATCATTGAATGCTTTATATATTTCGGAAAATAATCTTGCAGTATATAAGAATTGTAATGATTTTTCTTTTAGTCACAAGATCAGGCCGCACAGAGAACGACAGCACCCGCCAGTACATCATCTCCTGGGGTATGGTAGTCAGTCGAGATGGAAATATAATCAATCTTACAAATATCATTTCTATAGCAATAGACATGTTTACAGGCATTCTTAAGAATAAATACATAATAAATGGAAAAAAAAAATGACAAAAAACAGCTGTGATGAATTTTTTTTTACTTTGAAAGACTCATTTTCATCTTAAGGAAGTTTTCATAAGTTTCCTGACCATGGTGTACGTACATGTTAATGAAGCAACAAATTTTGTGCCTATTTATAGACAACTCCTTCAGGAGGGGAAACCCCAAATCTCTCCCAGACACCTTTTGGATTGGGAGGGTTAGGAGGATTAGCAGGACTGGGAAATCTCGGAATGGGGTCCCACAACTTCATGGAGATGCAGCAAAATATGCAGAGGGAGGTTAGTGATGCTTAACTTAAAGTAAATAAGTATATAGGTTGTTCAAATTATGACCCCTGGGTATAAGGTTGGGCCATGGAAGGGGATCAAAGGGACATTGCTAATTTGCTTATTCTGATTATACATTATGATTATAAATCATGAATTTAACCATGAAGCACCATGATAAAACCCATGATGGAGAAGGCTGGTCAATAAGTGAGTTGTTTTACAGATGATGGCTAACCCTGATCTGATGAGACAGATGATGGAGAATCCATTTGTCCAGCAGTTAATGTCTAACCCTGACGTCATGAGACAAATGATCACCAGTAATCCACAGATGAGGGACCTTATGGAGGTAAGAAAATGTTGACATCAGTGGACAATTAAATGTTACACTGCTTACACATAAAGAAAAGGTCTCAATGCATTGATAGCTTAAAAGTAATCTTATGGATATTCTGTTACAGAGAAACCCAGAAATTTCACACATGCTGAACAACCCCGAGTTAATGAGACAGGTAACTATAGATATCAAGAAGTGTACAGATTGATACAGAGTAGGGATGGAAACTTGTTGCTGGTTAATTGCTTACTTGCTCATGACAATGATATTAATTAAAATATTTTGTAAAATCTTGAATTTCTTGCTTAACAAACATATTTTTATGCAATTATTGAAATGATTAATTGGTCTCAGATCTTTTTACGTCAAACATATGACAATTTTGTTTTTGGATTGGTCTTTCTATTAAAATATGGTACTAAATCAATGTTTTTATTTCATAGTTGGACAAAAAATTCAATTACATTGTGTAGGTTAAAAATGTACATTTATTCAAGCATGTAATTGTGTTTTCTAGACAATGGAACTGGCCAGGAACCCTGCAATGCTCCAGGAACTAATGAGGTCTCAAGACAGGGCTATGAGTAATTTAGAGGTACGTCTTTTTGATAACATTACTTTAGAATAAATCGGATTCAAAACCATAAAATTAGACAAGCTTTTTGTGAGGAATGGTAAATTTTACTTATAATTACAATTAAAGACTGATATAGCGAACATGGTTATAAAGAATTGACGCTTATTACGAAGTGATTTTCTTTCCCTATCACTTCAAATTATATTATAAACTTAACAGATATGAATTACTCTTACATGTATAACAAAGCAAAATTGTCCATTTCTGGTACTGTACTTCGTTGTAAACATCTTTTGCTGTATATCTTTATGAAACTCCCCTTATACAAATGTGGATTGCTGCTTGTGTTTCCTGTATCTTACTCAAAGCATCCTTTCCCATCATTACATAATCTTTAAAGCCTTTTCTTTCCTTTGTTATTTATTAAACTATGCACCATATGTTGAATACAGAGTATACCTGGCGGATTCAATGCTCTGCAGAGGATGTACAGAGATGTACAAGAGCCAATGATGGATGCTGCCTTTGGGAATCAGAATCCATTTGCCTCCCTTGTTAGTCAAAGTAAGAGTCAAGTTTCAAGTGCTTAAAGAAAGCTGACGTAGAGAATGTTTTCTTGAGAAAGAGAGAGAATTTAAAGTCTTCAATATACAATATAAGTTAATAAGTGATGCTATAAATTTGTCCAACAGATAGTTCTGGTTCCTCCAACACACAGCAGGGTACAGAGAACACTCAGCCCCTCCCCAACCCCTGGGCCCCGGCCTCCACACAGAGCAGTTCTCCCTCCACAACAAGTACTTCTACAACCCCCACAGCATCAACACAAGGTAGTCTACACTGTGTTTATTTCGTACTGTTTTGCTGATGGATTAAAATGATATAGAAATTATTAATTTATAAATATACATGTATGCACATACAGTAAATATTACTTATATAGTATATAGTTTGCCAGGGTTAATATTTTTTTTATAATGTCTTGAAACAACGACTGACAAATTTGGTTTAAATTTCATTATTTGGTGAATTTTAGCACCTGATTAAATCATTATAATTGTTGTAGACATGTTTGGTAGTCGAGGAATGCAGAGTTTGATGCAGCAGATGGTTCAGAACCCCCAGCTGATAGAGAACATGATGCAGGCCCCATACATGCAGTCCATGCTTCAGTCAATGTCTGCCAACCCAGAGATGGCAAACCAGGTACATTTGTAAAGTCACATCTTACAAGCCAGTTTAATGATGGCAATCTTATAAACTAGCATTGAGATGGCAAACAAAGTTGACTGGAGTTTGAATCACCCGAAGGAAAGATTACAGACTAAGTGAACTCACTTAACAAGTAACTTTTGTTGGAATTTACATTTGCTTAAAGTCACCTATTAGACTTTTATATTTGTCAGATTATTGGATCCAATCCTATGTTTGCCAGCAACCCTCAACTTCAGCAGCAGGTGTTACAACAGCTCCCAAACATGCTGCAACAGGTAATCACCTTTAAAGCAATCTAATAAAATAAAATTTGTACAATTCCACTTCTCTGCTAATAGGCTAAAGGACAGAATTACAAGTCTGATAAGATTGCCACTGAAGAAAAGAAAAATACATTAAAATTTTTGTCAATATATTATAAGATTTTTGTGCCTTATAAAGATTATGTTTTACTGGAGTTTTTTTTTTTAAAACATACATATTTTACAAGTTTTATTTGTCTACAGTTGCAGAACCCTGAGATGCAAGCACTGATGACTAATCCACAGGCTTTAAATGCTGTAATGCAGATCCAGCAGGGTATGAGCACATTACAGCAGACGGCACCTTCACTCTTCCCTGGGTAAGTTCTTACAGAAGCCAGTGAGATCAGAGAATGTGTATTACAGCAGTTACTTTAGTTCACCTATACTGTTTAAAGAAAAGAAAGAGAAATGATGTTTGTCTAGAAAGCATCTTCTTCAATTTTAGCCACATAGAGAAGGTTTGGGGGTTCTAGGAATCTTTCTGTACAGTGTACTTCATCTTTGTTTCCTCAGTATATCAGAGAATACATGTATATGCAGAATATTTTTCATGCTAACTAGTAAACAATGCAGGATCTTGTCAGAGTATTTTAGTATTTAAAAACCTTGTTGTAGATTAAATCCTGGCTCACTAGCCATTGGTGGAACGTCTACAACTACTTCTTCAACAACAACAGCGCCATCTGCTGTCACAGACACCACAAGTGCCAGCACAGACACCACGACCTCCACCGCCACTACCACAACCGCTACAGCCACTACATCATCAACGGGTGGAACCACCACCACCCCCTCTACTGGCGGATCCACCCCTCAGCAGAATCCCGAGCAGTTGTCCAATCTCATGGCTCACATGATGCAGCTGATGGCTGGTGGTAACCAGGTAAAGATTTAGTTCTTGTATTGTCCATTATTCGTCTGTTTGAAATAAATCCGCGACAATTAATAATAGAGCAACAGAGGAAACATTCTCTAAAAATAATCATCAAAATTATTGGTTCCAGGTAATTAATATTTGCAAATAAAAGTCGGTCGGGGAGCTCAGGAATATTTCTCGCACGTGAAGAAAAGTTGGTTTACAGTATTAGCAATAACATTTATATTCAATCTGTCACAATTGACCTCAAGTTGTGATGGATTCGTTAAATCAGAATTTACAAACCAAAATAAATAATATTTTGTAAGACCTCCTGTATACCAAGAAACAAGATTTATAAAAATTAACAATAAATTTATCTACATATGTACAATGAACAAAACACGGCTGAAAGTTCAATCATAGTTGTCACGAGAGTTTCACACCACGTTCCAACGTCATCCACGGTCCACCATATTGTCCATATTGTCCACCATAATGTCCCGTCCGGTCCACCATATCCTACATGTAAGTAGCCTCACACGTACACCAATCCTCCCGTCCAGAGCAAAAGCTTAATATACAATTTTGGTCACCTACAATTCTTATACAGTTTTCTAATAAAATATTCAAAACACATATCTGTTCAGTATACTAGATATTACAAACAAATTACAGAAGAAAACACATATTTGCCATTTAACAAGTCAAGTAAATGAATCACAGCGTAAATATATACATTCTCGCTATAATGCTAACAGTTTTACATAGAAAATTGCTCTTTAAAGCTAACAACAAAAATATTGTAAAGTGTAAAAACTTACTGAGCTGTGGCATTTTATACATAAAAACCATACTGCCGGCCCCCAAGTCTTGCTCTCAACGCCGCTACAAAACATCCCTTAATCCCAAGATCACACAGCAGGGGAAACAGTACACACCCAAGTTCACACAGCATGGTTTATATAAAGGCACACCCAAGATCACTAAGCATGGGTAAAGTATAACTCACGGCGTCCAGACCTCATCTGACAAACACTAGCCAACACCGAGTGAAATAACTGACCAAACTAATCAAACGGGTTCGACGAGTTTACGTTGATAAAAATAGCAACAAGTACAACCCAGTGACCAATAGTGCATAAATGAAATAATCGATAACTCCTAATGCCCAAATAAAGATAACTCTTACCAATACCTGTACAATCAGCTAATATTAAACATGACACAATGTCACTTGTGACACAATCAGAGGGTAAAAAAATGTGCAGATTTCTTGAGTTGCCTTTATCTGCATTAAATGCACTTTACATTGCCGTGTATAGTTTCCATGAATTAAGAATTTGTGACTGCATACAGAGCTTAAATTGGTCGTAAACAGTCAAAGGTATGCCATAAACAATTCCCTTTAATTCTATGTAACTATGACTATTATACTGTAGAATCAGCCCCCAGAGCAGAGGTATGCTGCACAACTTGATCAGCTGGCCACTATGGGCTTTGTGGATAGAGAGGCAAACATCAGAGGTGAGTGTTTAGTGATGGAGAATCTGTACTGTTTATACAGGAGCATTTTGTAAAGGATATGTTTAATAGTACTGTTCAAACTTTTTTTTACAAAATGATCTCTAAAGCTCAATATTTTATCTTCTTGTCTGGTACCAATAAAGACAATTCACATTATTGTTGGACAGTTGTCCGATTCCAGGAGCAATTTTTTGGTTCAAAAATAAAAGCAGAAGTCAACTTATTTTTTTTTTTTAAAGCCATATATGGCGTTTGTACAATGAAAATTATTGGACTAAAATTACAAGAACTTATTATTTGTATCATTACTTTATATAAAGATAGAACTTTTCCGTTCTAAGTCAATTGCGTTATAAAGATATCACAATTTAATTTGGATTCTCTGAATTTTCTCCGACTCGGAAGAAAATACAAACGATTTAAATAACACATTACAGAGAAGATAAAATCGTATTATTAGTTGAAACGAGGTGTTCTCCGTGTTCAGAATTGTATGACAAGTTTTAATTTAAATGTATTAACTATATTTCTTTACTTAATTTTGTATTTTTCAAAAATATATTTTTTAGATCAGTTACGCCATATATGGCTTTAATGTTTTATTTTGAAGCTTTTATGTGCTTAAATACAAACACATAGCAAACAATGCACTGCATTATTGGTGACCTTATCGGATTAATGGAATCTGTATAATGATTTACCTATTTCTTGATGCTAAAATGAATTAATTGATACATCTCTGATTTTTCAGCACTTCAAGCAACACTGGGAGATGTAAATGCTGCAATAGATAGGCTGCTGCAGCAGCGATGACACACAGTCCTAATTATTGGAAATTTTTCTTCTAACAAGACCTTATTAAAACAAAAGCATCCAATTTTACTTCAGAAACATTGTTTTTTTTCTCTGTATGAAATCATCAGTGTTTTAAAAATTATAATGTATAAAGATAAACTTTACCATTGATTTACTGTATACAGGGAAATTTTTGCCTCTTTTGTCCTTGTTGCAAGTGGGTGGATTTCAAAATGGGGCATATTTAAAGAAAGCAGCATTTTCCGTTTTAAATTACAAATTTGTTTTATTAAAGGCAATCTTTAAATTGGACAAAATTGTTTCATAAGTGTGAAAGTTTGAAAATAACTTTGGGCAAAAATAACCATGTATTCAGTATTTATTTTATATTTTGTTTATATTTCTTGGTTTAAATGAAGTTTAAAATTTAGACATCTTATAGATGATATGATGAATTTTTAATTAAGTTTCAGATCAAATAGAAAATTAATTCCTGCTTAGTCAGAATTCAGTTGATACATGTATGTTTACTTTAAACAGCAGCATGTGCCACGAGTCAGTATTGGTTTCCAGGATGTCAGGTGTTGAGGGATTTGTCCTTCAGTTGTTTTGGTCATTGTGTTTTGTAATATTGGACAATTGTACATATACTGATACTGTTGAAACATTATACAGACCATTGTATGTGTACCAGCAGCAGGACAGAGATACAGCAGACAAGAAATAAAGGGTTTAATCAAGTCAGCAAATGTTGAACATGTTTATGGTGCTTAAAATATATGAAATCTAAATAACTCTCAAGAATTAAGAAGAAATATGTGTAAACTCTGTTGTTTAAAAAAAAGAAAAAACGACAACACAAGTTGTAAAACGTTAGCGCTTTCATTTCAAATTCTCTTCAGACGTTTTACTTTGTTGTTTATTTATTCTTTGCATGAGAGAAGAATGATTTTTTAGCCGATCCATGTGGCAGATAGTCTATTTAAGTAACTAATTAAATCTGCTTTATATGTACACTGTACATGATAAAAAAAAAAAATACTTTACTGTTTTATGGTAAATATTTTTTCTGCTTATTTCATAATTTACAGGTTTATTTATGACAAAATGCATGAAATAAATAAAGTTAATATTGACATTTTTTACCAGTTTTTAGTGAAATATTGGCTTGAATAAATATTAAAGATAGCACATATTCATACATAATATGATGCAAAAAGCACATGGGAGCGATATCTGGTTCAGTAATGTTTGATCTATACATACCGTTACTTTATGAATATTTTCAATCCTGATTTTAAAAATCATTGACATTTCCTCTTCTATAAGAAAAATGTTAAAGTTCAATAATGCTGAAAATCCAGTTTATTTCCCACTGTGTATAAGTATACTTTGTTGACTTGTCTGCATTCTTTTTTTTAAAAAGTATGAATTTTTTGGATAAAAACCAAATCAAATATTCCGAGAATAAAATTATCTTTGTGTCCTCTGTAACTTAACAAGCCATGTTAATTTTGGGCTTTGTTATACAACTGACTTGATATTTGCTGTTGTACAGTGTATGAAATTATAAATAAAATACAAACATGTAGATGTAATTGATTGTAGTTACACTTATCAATATTTAATACAGGAGCTGAGATTTTTATACCCCACCATGAATATGGCTGGGCATATAGTGTTTGTCATGTCTGTCTTCCGTCCTTCCATCACACTTTGGCTTTAGCTCACTTAAAAGCTCAGTTTCAAAGAAACTATCAAAGATATTTTTATCAAACTTCATATGCTGATTGATATTGATGAGAACTATGCAAATGGATCAACATTTTTTAACCTTGTCCTTTCCTTTGACCTTGACCTCACTTTTCTTAAAGTAGTGTTTAGCTCAGTTTTAAACAAACCGTTCAAGATGGTTTTATCAGACTTTGCATGTTGATACATACTGATGAAAGCTATTCAACTGCCTCACCATTTTTGACGTTGACATTTCCTTTGACCTTGACTTCACTTTTCTTAAATTAGTGTTTAGCCATGATTTAAAGATACCATTTAAGATAGTGTTATCAAACTTCATATGCTGATACATACTGATGAGATCTATTCAACTGCATCACTATTTTTGACCTCGACCTTACCTTTGACCTTGACCTCATTTCCTAAATTAGTATCAAACTTCATATGCTAATACATACTGTTGTGAGCAATTTAATACATCAACATTTTTGACCTTGACCTTTCATTTGACCTTGACCTCAATTTTATCAATTTGTGTTTTAAGTCAGTTTTTAAGTTACCATTCATAATATTTTTTCAACTTCATGTATATTGTATGTTATAATTGCGGGCACTAATAAACCGGATTATTTTACCAGTTTTTTCTCTATTCCGCCATCACCGTACTTGGATATAAATAGTAGATAATGTGGAGAAACGCTATATTACCATGACCTACTTTTGGTACATGTATTTTATTGCTATTAATATTTGAATACTGAAAACCAACTTTTATTTGTGTGTGGGAAATTTTTGCGAGGTTTGCGAGAGCTCCATCATTGTGAATATTTCTTGCTGCAAACTGTTCCTTAAAGTCTATGCGCCTATTAACAACAGATCCAAAATAGGCTTGATCGCAAAAATTAATTATCGCGAAGTAGTTTATCCCCAGTAAATCACGAAATATAGTTGGTTCGAATAAAAGTTGGTTTACAGTATTACTGGTACTAATTGGCTTTGAACCACCAAACTTTAATTGATGCATCTTGGGTCCTCAGAATAATTCAACTAGGAAGTAGGTCACAGTGACCAACTTTTGGAATTTCAAATATCTAAATATTTTAAATACTCAGTAATATGATTTAAAATAATCAAACTTTGTTGTATCATGGTTGTGGTGATTTTCCTTTGAAGATCGCTGTGCATTAAATCTTGATACCGTTGAGGAGGCAGAGCCAAAGGCATGCGGTATCAGGTTTATTTCGGAAGTTTTTGCATGTACAATAACTTCCGAAATATACATGTAAGCTAGCATGGGGGGGGGGTGGCTTAAATTGTATCTCCTTAGCTTGTTACCATTTCAGTTACTCAATTATAATTAACAGTTAAAATTTAAAGTTTAAAAGAAGTGGAGGGAGCCCCGCCCCCCTTCTCTGTAAAATTCCCTCATTGAAATTAAAACAGTCGTATTTAATATCTGCTTAGCTTTCTCTTATTTAAGCTTTTGATAGAACTGTACATAGGCGTCGGAAGCAAATTGAAAGTGGGAAGGGGGCTAAACCAACAAAAAAAGGTAACCCCCCATTTCCAATGCCTATACATGTATTACGTCTATCTTTGCAAAAAAGTAAGGGGGGCTAACCCCCCCACGGTTCTGACGCCTATGCTTTCACAAAACGGGTACTTGCCGTGAGAGATTCGTTGAATGACGATTTCTAATCCAGAAAATCCAAGTTAAAATTACTTGCACATGTATCTACGTGTTCCTAAAAATTGGAATCCATGGATTTTTGGGCAGTCCTGTACACTGAAAGTTTTTTTCAGAATTAAAAAAGCACACCAAGCACTAGCTCTTACAAAATTAATATCCATCTTGTCACTTAGCATTATGCAAGTGAAATGAAAAAAAATTATTGTCAATTTGGGTGGAATTAAAACTTATAAAGGTCATGTGACCGATGATTGACATGATACAAGTTCCTTATTGAACAATTATTTTTGGGTATCACTGGATATTCTGATGGGCATGATCTCGTTCACTACAGAGAACTCGTCACCACCCATCAGAATATCTAGTGATACCCAAAATAATTGCTCAATAAGTATAACTCAGTTGAGTCATTTTAGGGACTGGAGTATGTGTACCAAAAAGTAGGTCACTGTAACCTCCTTTTGGAGTTCTCATGACTATGAATACTTTCAGATGATAAAGAGCTTAGAATCATCAAACTTTGTCAGTTGATGTATAATGGGATCTCAGCATTTTAATTAAAATGTAGGTCATGATGAGCTACTTTTAAATTGCATTGTCTTAATACATGTATACAGGATACTTGGAGGCTGCAAATAGAAAAGATAGGTTGTACAACTGATCAGAAGAGTGATTCAAGGCCCTTATAGGCATCTTGTTAAATCAATTTTTCTAAGCCAACAGGGCTGTCCAGATTCAAATCACAGTGTACAAAGTACTTCAGCATTCAGAAATCAACAAAACATACAATGGTAATCAAATAAGAATAAGTTTTACTAATGTGTAACTTCATAACATGGTACATTATTGTACGTATAATAATAAAACATAAAGTACATTATTTCCACAAGAAATAGATGAGGATATATTGTTAACAGTTATTTCATTCTTGTAACAGCAGCATACATCCAACACTCAAGCACACAACAGAAGCCTTCACATCACATGACATTAAATTTTTATCTATTAACTTTAAATTAATCTGGATTCCTTAAAATCTCTAATAAAGAGAAAATTAGGTAAGAATCCCAACAGATCATAAAATAACAAGGATAGATAATGTTGTAATTCTACTGCCAGAGACCAGCGTAGTTTCCCCACAGACCAGCTGGGAGTGGACCTCCAGCTGTGAATAAACGAGTCCCAGTACTGTTGTAACGATGCGTATAAATAGCACTTGGGTATTCTGCCTCCCAGAAAAAGTCCCGGAATGTTTCATCGTGACGCTGTAAGAAGACATTCAAAGAAATGGTTAATAATTTCATGTACTCTTCATTTCAAAATTGTTCACTGGTGCAAAATACTTGAAGCGTTTTCTGCATTGGAAAATTTGATTAGCAGAAGAAGAGTGATAGATTTAATTGCTAGGGCTTACCAGCCAGCCACTTCCTGCCATTAGAGAACATGAATGGCCACAATCACTCTCCAGGTAGCGCCCTGCCCTGACGTCAAAGAAAAGGACCACTCCCACTCCAGTACCAATTGTCAGGACATCATCAGTAAAACTCAGGGATCGTACACCTAGATAATTAGAGACATCATCAGTAAAACTCAGGGACCGGACACCTGGATAAATTAGAGGACATTTTCAGTAAAAGTAACACCTGTATAAAAAGAGGGGGGATTATCAGTAAAACTCAGGACTTTGTGAAGCAGTTTAATGATTTTTCCCATGTTTTCCTACGTAAAACCTTGATAACCCATTGTGACTCCACTCTACCCCTGGGAGGTCATGTTTTGAACAAAGGAAAAAGATACATAAACATTCTTAGTATACAGAAGTGATGACAAACATACCACTGCCTCGGTACTTGGACAAGATTGATGTCTGTGTATTGGGACATCGTGGGTCTAGTATGTCAATATGGGACTGTGATCCTACAGCATAACTACAGTATTTCTTAGATACCGCCATGCACACATTCTCACGCGAGTGTATCAGACATCTGTGAATCCTCTGAAAATGTAGAATTAAAATATCAAAATACTGAACTCCAGATATTGCTTTGATACAGATATACAATAAACAAATAAAGACTTCAGTTCTGATTTCTGTATTATTTAGTGTACTTACAGCATTAAAATTTTCCACATCCCACAAATGAAAGCAGCCATTGAGTGATAAAACAGCCAGTTCCTGTAACAGAGGATTTCAAGTGAGATGTCAAGAGAGATAATGTTCATATGGGTTGTTTTAAATAAGGTGCCCCACCATAGCTCATGATACGCCTGTCAAATCTCTTCAATTTCAAACATTTCATAGAGCACAGAAGAAAATCATGTCAACCTTGATATGAAGATTTCAATTATTTTTCCATTTCTTATAATGTTTCGTGTAAAATTTCCTGTTACCAGGTGTAGGCGTACATTATATACTACATCATATATTTCTCAAATGATTGTGTAAGAGTTTGAAAACAAATACACTAATAAAACATCAAAACACTAATTTATTATGTTTTTTCTCTACACCATTAAATTGTCTGACACTTAGTGAGACATAATTAAAACTGAAATTTATTAAAGGTATAAATAATTTTAAAAATACATTTATAATATACAATACTGAATTAGTTTAAATTAAATTACACATAATTTATTTTGAAAGTAATATTAGACGACAAGAAGTAATGAATAAGATGCTGGTTCCTTTTCCCAATTCAAAAAAGATATAAACACCTGCTTGATCAGAGACATGCAATTTTCTGTTATCAAAATTTTTTCTGACCAGTTGCTTGATGATTAAACCCTTGGGAGAAGTGGAACTTGAACCCCACACTTCTCTTATTATTGACACAAAAGAAAACTTCTCTTATTATCGACACAAAAGAAACATCATATTGCTAAGAATGTCATAAAGTACTGTAAACCAACTTTATTCTCGTGCAAGAAATTTTTACGAGGTTCGCGAGAGAGACATAATTGCAAATATTTCTCGCCGCGAACCGGTCCTTAAGAGTCTCTGTGTCTATTTAGAACAGATCCAAAAAGGCTTGCTCACGAAAATTTATCGTTGCGAATTTGTTCACTCACGGTAAATTGCGAAATAAAGTTGTCACGAATAAAAGTTGGTTTACTGTATATAGTTGAAAAATGTGTATTTTCTTAATTTTACTTTTTTTAAATTAAGGTTTCTGAAATACCCTTACATCTGATGGAAATGTGTACCGGGTAATTAAAAAGTTTTTTTTTTAAAAAGCTGTCTTTTTAATTCACTTTAATTAAAAGTAACGGTGAACGTTAAGTAAAATCTGACACTTCTGCCTAAGATGCATTAAATGGTAAAGTTTGATGTTTCTAGAACTTACAGTTTTTAGTAATAAGCCAGATAGGATTTTTACATATTTGGCCATAGCAACCCAATTAAAGGTCACAACAAGCTATTTTTAATGTGTGACACACCTTCTACCCAAGATGTATCAACTGAAAAAGTTTGATAATTCTAGGCCTAATAGTATTTAAGTTACAAGCTAAACACCAAAAAGGTAACATGCAGACGGACCAACATAAATGCCACAATATTCACTTCATAATAAGATGGGCTTATAAAAATATCAGTTACATGTATGTAAATTCTAAACTTGCCTTTCTCTCATCGTGATAGGCTAGGGCTCTGACTTTCTGAGCCTTTTCACACAACCTTGATATCACTGGTTTAGTGATGGCATAATCTGGCATACGTATGCCAGCAGTGATCAATGGTTCACTATCCTCAGAATCCGAGTCCACCGTCTCTACTCTCCATAAGGCCAGCTTGCTATCCCTAGACCCTGTTATAACATTAAATAGGACATTTTAATTACGTCATCTCTCTGTGAATAATTGTTCCAAAATTTTTAATTTTGTCTATCCTTTATTTTAAGCTACCATTTTAAATATCTTTATTCTTCTCACCCATTAGAAAAAGTTGGAAAGTTTTAGTGTAAACAGATTTATTTTCACCCCATGTTATTTTCGCACTTTTGCTCTTGCTAACAATTTTGCCCCGTTTTAAATTCGCCCATTCATAGTTCTGTTTAAGAAATTATGCTGTGTAATTTGAATTCGCCCCGTTTTAAATTCGCCCACTCAAGAAGAGGGCGAAAGGGGCGAAAATAAAATGGGAGCGAAAATTTCCCTGTATACAGTATGTCTTAAGCATCAAATTATACCTTAATGAATTAACTCAAGGTAAAAAGATAAAAGAAGAAGAAAATACCTGTGACTAAATATTCATCATCTATCCATGTGATATCAAATATCCAGTCACTGTGACCATTCTGAGGAAGCAAGAAATATAACATTTATATTGTTTATCATTTTCTACCTAGTTGCATCAGTATGATACATGTCACAGAGGTAACAAATTCCGAAAAATCAAAGTCCTGTTGGCTATGTTTCATCTTTTTTTATAAATTAAAAAAATGATCGTAAAGCTAAAAATAAAGCAAATTCTCAAATGTATTAAGTAAAAATGTGGGTTTGTGGGCTAAAACTTTACGTTTCGATACCATGTTTCAAGTGAGTTTGTTAAATTTCTCTGTGACTTACAGCACATTCTAATTTCTATTTATTGTAACAGATGGTTTATTCAGTAGTGAGTATTTGTAAAAGTTATTGTAATCTACCAGTAATCTATCAGTCTGGTATTGTGTTGAAATACTCATATATGACTATATGACAGTTTATGGAGGAAAAATAAAACATATATTAATACACATAGTCTTTATTCATTCAATGCAACAAATGAAAGTAAATTATGTTACATAAATTTAATGATGTATAGGTAAATATGGACTCTGAAATTTCTTCCTCGACAAAATAACCTATGAACTTTTTCTCTTCTTGGTGAACAGAGCTATGGTTATACTACTGACTTTCACACCTGTGAATCCAATGACAAATTGTCTTTCTTTGGTGAATTCACAAGACAAATTGTCAATATTGTTACCTTCTTGTTCAATTTATAACATAATTTCAGCATTTCATTACAATCTAACCTAAATATTAGAGGAAATAAACTAAATGTTGACGATTAAATCACAATTATATGTAAATCTTAGCAAAGAATGCTAAGTGACAGCTGACTGAACTGAGGTCTAAACGGATGTGATACAGAAAAACCTACCTCTCCCACCATCACAGGGTCAAAGGTTGGTAGCTGGTATATAGCAAGGTCATTGGTATTCTCTGCCCCTGTGGCACACAAGGTCTGGGAGGGATTTAAGGCAATACTGTGGATTCCACATGGGCATTCAGCAGGAATACTGTTTTTACTGCTTTTTAATGATGGAATATTAAACTGTTTGCCAGTCTTTGTGTCCATTATAATCAGCTGAAATATACATGTATACACCTCATTTATGTAAGTACTTTGCAATGTCAAATATAGATTAAGTAATTTTTTCACTTATGAGGCATCTAGATTTACTGTTTTGCACAAAGGATTGAATTACATACAAGTACACTATATAACATTTTTTATTAAAATGTAGTTATTTAAAGCTCATCAAGAATACTTTGTTGCACTTGGTTCCAATGGCAACTTGTCTTTCATCCAGCCAATGAGAGGCAAAGATTTTATTAATTTCGCCCATGTCATATTCCTTTTCTGCTAGTAAGGGTGGTACATGCTGAGAGACAAAAGGCAGCATCATCTTCTCCTGGTTTATATATAGGTGCTTGCCGCCGTACTGCCTGTTCTGTATGTGACGGAACACCTCCACATCCAGTGTCCTATCCTCCCGGCTGGTACTGCTCATACAGGGAGAACGGAAGGAGCAGTTTCTAGGTTTGCCTAAAATAAAAAAAAACATATTTAATTTCAATATTAAATTGATTTTTATACTGTCGTCAGAAATAAGTAAGAATTGAGTACTCATTCATTATTGTTTACTTGTACCTAACTTTAATTTAAACACAATCTATTTGAAAGATATGCATTATATCATAGGCTTTTCGACTGGTATCTGCTCCTACTTTTCCTCATACATCAAAATAGAGACAAAATAAATTGTGTCTGATTTTCAGACAGGTTTACAATGACAGGTTAATATGGAATGTTCCATCATTTAAATGATATTGTCCTACAGACCCAGTTTAATTAGAGAATTCATTCACAGCCAACTGATGTTACTTATGTTTCTTATATAAAAAAATTAACCCCTTACAGTATGGGTTAATTTTTTTATCTATAAGAAAAATATAAGCATACATGTTAACCTGTTGTGATGAAAAATAGGGAGATTCAGACCTCAAAAGCGGTAGCATTGCGCGCGTTGTTTTACACTTGGATTTATGAAGATATATTGCTTGTAATATATATGTTTGGTCTTAAATGAAAACTACAAGAATTAATCTTAAATATCAACTGCAAAGAAGTAGACAGAAAGACCTTAAGTTTGATATAAATTATACAAATTCAAATATTTTTCATGCTCATCATTTTGCTTTGATTGCCTGCTTAACGTTAACTTTTTAAGAGTGATCTTTGCTGATATAGCCTAGAAACAATAATTCTGAATGTTAAATCAGTTATCAAACACAACAAATGATGACATAGTTTAATATAGATGTAAAACTAGTTCCTATCTTTCGTTAAATATATTGGATTTCCCGCGACGATCGAAAACGAAAGTAGAGATGTGCCTCATGACTTGGTCAATCTAGTGATTTCTATTGACTTTATTGATAAAACTGCAAGCTTCTGTGCTTTTAGAGACGATGTTAAACGTTTTCATCCAATTCTAAAATGCTATATCCTCTTTTTCATGGCAGTAATGTCGACAAAATGTATCGTAACCAATGTAATCAGAGTTTTGTCATTTGTGCTGTAGTCGTTGTCAAATACGTACTTGAAATCTATGTGCACATCGGTACAAAAAAAGTGTTTGTATGCTTCCGGGTCAAATCACGCGATATCTTATGAGTGGCTTCAAAAATGACTATCCAAGCAAACCAAAAATACTTTAGGCAAAACTTTTGTAGAAAAGTGGTAGATTTATGAATAAAATTGGTAGGCGTGAGATTGTGTGAAAAAGCGGTAGACTCCCGCCTAAATCAGTAGAGTTAACATGTATGAATAAGTACAATGAATAAGTGCCTTTGTTTTAACCGTGTTGAGAGTAAATTAAGAAAATTTTAGTTAAAGTCAGCAAAATTGTACAGTAAGCAGCAATGCTAATGCAATTGGTTTGTGAAACACATTTTGATTGGCTAATGCGCTTTGTTTGAAGCAGTAAAATGAGCATTAATGAGTGTGAAAACTTTTCATTGTGGCGTCATAATAGAGCGACGCAAAACCACAATGCTCCATGACGTATTTCATATTACAAAACTCAACAAAATAAGACATAAACAACAAACAAAATGCAATGATTGCATTAGAATGGAAATAACTATCTTCTAATTTGGTATTTCCGACCGTTAATGCTGATTTAACAGTCGCAAACATCCGTTGTACCGGCTTCGCTTACGCGTCGCCGGTAAAACTCAGTTTGTGACCATCAAATCAGCATTAACGGTCACAAATACCAAATTAAAAGACAGTTATTCCCTAAATAACATGATCTCAGTAGAGCGCTTAAACCAACTAACTGGTTGAAGGGTTGTCCCAGGACAGTTAGATTATTCTACTCTGAAAGCCTCAATGCTAAGCTTAAACTTCAAAGATTTTGTGTCTAAAGAAGTTTGTATATTGTTTTCATGAATGTGAACATACATGTTTTTAATCAAAGTGAGAAAATGCCGCAGCAGCGGCTCTTCACTTCATAGGAAGAAGAATTGTGCAATTTCCTTTCTTGTTTGAATAACTGAACATGTGAATATTCTTCATAGATCATAAAAACAATATTAATGAAATGAAAACTGTTCTTCATTAATATGATAAAAAATCCTTTTTTCCAATAATATATACAATACCAGTTTAAAATATTACTAGTAAATAGAGAGATTTAATGATGACCAGTTTATGTACAGTACAGCTGTCAGTGTCGGTATGATATGATATACCGAAAGTTCATCACCGTTTACATGCATAAAGCTCCCCAAGATTCGTGACATACTTTTAACTTAAACGTTCTTAAACATGAAATATTTCTTACTAAACATATTTTAAAGATTCCTTGACTTTGTTTTCATATCAGGAAAGAACTTTTTTCGTGTAATGTATCTTTCGAATGATTTCGTCCGTTGATGGCTGATGTCAAAACATTTAGTAATTAGTTTCGTATATGCAGGTGCGTTTTTCTTTTAGCACATACAAATAAAAAGATTTAAAAATAATTATGAAAAACACGCCATACATTAGAAACATATATTAACAATATTCTTACTTAAAAATTGTCTTATTTTCACATGTGAAAATGTGTTCGAAACTAATGATAGATGTTTTACATATTTCGTCACTTCGAGGTTTCATCACCCAGACCTTGTGATGCATTATAAGCCAAAGTTAGGGAATTTCAAGATCAATAAGATGCGTATTTAAAATTGGACAATTCCATTTTTCAAAAGAAAAAATTAAGGTTATTGGATTAATTTTGTTTAGAGCCTAGTGCGAAATAGCTGATGTTTTCCAGGCTTTTATACAGTGGCGGATCCAGAAATTTTGAAAAAGGGAGTGGAGCCCGACCAGTTTTGGGTCAGGGAAGGGGTCCACTGCCACACCAAAAAACATTGAATTATCAAATCGTGTGTATTTTTTTTTTTTTGGACACAAGGTGGGGGGGGGGCTGGGGAGCTGGGCCCCCTCTAAATCCGCCACGTGATCAACACCGTTAAAAAGCCTGGAAAACGTCAGATATTTCGGCCTATTTATACAAGCACTTGTTTCGGAAACATTTTAACCCACAGAAAAATAAAAACAGTCATGTACGTGCGATATACTATGGGTTAAAAAGTATTATTGGATCGATCAAGTGCCTGACGTGTGCTATTTATATAAATAAATATAAATCAATGTTAACAAAACAAAAGTAATTATTTTCAACAGAAGTGGGCATTTATTAAAAGAAACATTTTCAATTAATGGTATTAATATAGAATGTGTAAAAACGTATAAATACCTAGGTATAATACTCTCAAATTCTGGTTCTTTCAAAGAAGCAAGGTGTAATTTATATAACAAAGCTTTAAAGTCATCATTTAAAATATACAAAGATATAAAATCAACAGATCCACCCATTAAAACTTTACTTCATCTATTTGATCACATGAGCTACCTATGGATCCGAAATATGGGGTGTATTGTCATCATCAATGCAAAGAAAAGAAAAATGTTTATTTGATATATTTAAAGATTGGGAGATTGAAAATCTTCATATGAAATTTTGCAAATTTATCATAGGGTCTGGGAAAAGAAGTACCAATATTGCAGTTCTCTCTGAACTGGGTAGACAACCAATATTTTATTCTATTATTATAGCAATTATATCTTACTGGCACAGACTGGAAAACATGCCTGAAAACTCTTTGTTATACAGTGCATACAAAGAATGCATTATCTTGGACAGTTGTAATGTAAATAGTTGGTTTTCAAATGTAACATATTTCTGTAACAGAATGGGCATAGATTTGTCAAGATGTAAATCAATGAAACTAATAACTTTAAAGAAACATCTGAAAAAAATTATTAGAGAAGATTTCCTTCAATATTGGTTTAAACAAAGAGATGATGGTTGTCTATCGGGTAAACTTACAACATATTTCTATATAAAAAGAAGTTTTGAAATTGAAAAGTATTTATTATTAAAAAATTTTGAACAAAGAAAAATTATATGCAAATTTAGAGTGAGTTCACATAATCTCAGAATAGAAAGTGGAAGGTACGAAAAAAAACTAAACTCTGCTGGAGAGCAAACCACCCTTGCAAGAAATGAAAGAATTTGTAGAATGTGCGACATGAACTGTGTGGAAGATGAGATACACTCACTGATTGAATGTCCATTATATAAGCATGATAGAGATGACTTTTTTAATATTATTGCTAAAAGTAATAAAAATTTCTATACTTTAACAAATAAAGAAAAATTTTTATGGATTATGTCTAATGAAGATGACATGTTGCTTATCAAGCTGGGTAATTTTTTAATCAATATCTTTAAAATAAGAAATAGCAAATTATGCTATGTTAAACAAAGAAACAAATAAATACAAAAGAGTAATATATAGAAATACTTTAAACAAACTATTATTTACAGTATATTGATTATGTATGTTGTAATCCCCAACTGCTGTAACATCATTTATCTTTTGTTAGTCACTGCTATCAATTTTGAATTTCTGCTTGTATGTTTTTTTTTTTTTTTTCCTTATTACTTGTATGCCCTGATGGGCCCCAAATTGGTATTAATAAATCTTATCTTATAATAGGATCATTCTAAAGCGTTTTTCGTCTTTTGAGAAGACGTAATATAATATTTAACGCTTCTTCTCGGTCACCATAATTTCCTAAACCATATTCGCTACCTAAAGAGTCCACAAATGTATAATTTTAAGGGGGCCGACTATAGTTTTATTGTGTGAAAACTACAATAGCAAAACTTTTCATTTTTATACCATATATAACATACATCAACTTCAGTGTACATGCAAAGTTTGGGGGAAATCTATCGTCCGGGTATTTTTGAGGGACCGTCTCAAAATACAGGTACATTTACTATAGGATTATATAGGAAAATGTCAATTTTAAGCACTTTAAAGCAATTTATACAAATACTACAATAGACATTTTGTTCAAACTATAATATTTGATGAGTAATACTATATTATACAATATATGTAAGAAACACAAAATTCTACCGTCTTGTTACCAGAGGGGGCATCTCAAAATGCAAAAAATCAGCAATTTTTACTATATTTATAGAGTACTACAAAATATGACGTACACAATAGATTCACATGAAAATATAATAAAAATATTGGAAACTTTCTCAAATTTCAAATTTCTATGTTTTAAATTTCAAGAGTGTATGTTTAAAACTTTTTCTTTAATTATATTTATATTACCCCTTTCTTTAAGAGCTACAGATTATCACAACGTCAAAAAGACACTGCGTCAACCTACCTATCAATTTCAAAACCGATTAAAAAATCAGTTATATCAAATTGTAATAACATTTTTAGACCTATAATTTCTTAATTTTGTTTAATTTTAATAATTAAGCGAAAAAAGTTGCATTAAAACAGTAAATACGCTTCATTTTATTTTGATGCGCGAAATATTGCGCATGGAAACTATAGTCGGCCCCCTTAAATAAAGACAATAATGCTATGGAAGGGAATTACCGCCAAAAGTCTATGTATCTTGCTTTTATTCTTATTCTGCCTACTTCTTTATGCCTTGTTGTTTTGTAATTATATGTCACTTTATTGTTTTCATATTCGTCTTTATTACATTTCACTTTGACTTTTATCATTCTTCATTTTGTCTTTACTTCTATGTTGCTTTATTCTTGTTAATTCATTCTACTTTCTTTTAAACTTAAACAGTTTCTTTAATAAATTATTAGCATTATCTCTACTACGAATGTTAAATTCAATCACCCTAACAATGAAGCATATTCAATGAAGACGAATGGAAGTTGTCAAACCGTCAAAATTTAGTGCGGCATTATAACGCTAGGTGTCGTAGTGTTCGCTACAAGTGTTGGTAAAACTAGGTAAGCAAACCCGGGCCGGGTTTATCAATCGAACTTCTGAGGGCCGGATCCGATCTCCCGATCCAATGATGGAAACTCCATATTTATTTTCTCTGGGCACACAGAAAAAGCGGCTTCGTTTTTCAGACATAACTTTATACTATACTGAATTGTTAATTTAAAGGCCTACCCACTTTTTGTAAGAGTAAGGGTCACATAAATAAATGTAGTACGTATAGTAGGAAGAAAATTTAAATTTGATACTATAGAAGAATTTGAATCTAATTCAAAACCCACCCCGCCCCCGAAATAGGATTTCATTGGCGTCGGGAGCAATTGAAAGTTGGGGGGGGGGGGGGTAAGTGTAAAAAAAAATTTGCAGACCTTCAAAAAAAGACCTGACAAGCCAAAAAAAATTCCATTTTCCAAACACAAAAATCCTATTTCGTGAGAAGGGATGGGGTGGGGTGTGTTAAAGGTTCGAACTCCAGTGCCAGAGTTTTTTTCCCAAATACCACCACTTTCCCCATTTTAAACCTTTACTGCATCGTGTCTATGGAAAGAGGGGGGAGGGGGGGGGGCTAAACCTACGCAGGAATGTTCAATGTCTATATTAAGTCTATCTTTGGATAGCTGCAGATCTGTAGGTCTCCGAAAAAAATTATTGATAGAACTTTAGCTGCAGATCTGTAGCTCTCCGAATAAAATTATTGATCTCCGGTCTATCAATATATATTTTTTCGGAGAGCTACAGATCTGCAGCTACTCTTTGGAAAGAAGTGGGGGCTAAGCCCATCCACCCCCCCCCCCCCACCCCCTCCTCTCCCCGGTTCCGACGCCTATGTATTTTCAAGTTTGGACAATTTCCTGGGGTTTATTTGCGCTTGTCAAGTTGTTTTCAGCCGGGTAGCTTGAATATTTTTTCTCTTGTTGCCCCTCTCCCCACATTCAAAAACGATGCTACGTCAGTGTTCTCTCGCCTGAAAAATATAACTCTTCTAAAGTTATTTGTTGGATATTTGAATTACAGTTTAATTGTTATAAAAATGTTAAATATTTTGATACTAGTTAACCCTTATAAATTGGGTTGTTTTTCAGAACCTTCCACTGAACTGAACTTTATTTCACGACACATAGTTACAGCTGATGCGCGTGATTCTAGGGACAGGGCTTTACAAAGGAGTGAGGAGCGTTATGGGTAGGCAGGCGCGGATCCAGATTTTTTTTCCAGGGAGGGGGGGACCAAGTAAAAAAAATCCAATCCCAGAAATTTATTGACAAGCATAAAAAGACGAAAAAAACCTAAAGTCGCTCAAACAACTAAATTCTATTTCGTGGGCGGGGGGGGGGGGAGGGTTAACTTTTTTTCCTTTTTTTAGTAACCTTGTTAATTCCAGGGGGTCCAACCCCCCCCCCCCCCCCTCTAGATCCGCGCATGGAAGGCGAAGTCTGAAACGGACTACATGCACCCAGGCATACTAGAAACACCCCGTTTTTTTTCTGCGTTAATATTTTATATTAAAGAAAGAAATATATTTAGTACGCATCGTGTTTGTCATCAACCAGGAAAGCTAAAAAAATCT